CCGGAGGAGACCCGACAGGTCCGAGTGGCTGGGGACGACGGGCAGCATGCTAAGGCCGCCAGCCGCCTGGGTCGGCGCGCAGAGAGGGAGGGGGCTGCAGCCGAGCGGAGGAGAGCCGCGAGTGGCTCGGCACGACGGACAGCAGCCTAAGCCCGGCAGCCAACTGGGTCAGGACAGAGAGGGGGGGCAGCGCCGTGCGAAGGCTAACAGCGGCTGCCACCTCGGTCACGGCCGAGAGGGGCAGGGCGCGAGGAGGGGGGCTAGCCGCCCGTTGTATAGCCCTTCGCAACGGGCCTTGCTCCCTAGTTGAGATATATGTCTAGGTTGAGGTTACAAGCAGTTACTGGATCTAGATCAGTTTGATCTATGTGTAAGTCTTAGCTGTCATGCTAAGTGATTAAGGCAATTACAGCCAGGTGTTAAACTACCAGGTGTTACTCTTCTAGCACTGTTATATCAGCTTGATAAGCTGGGTGGGGGACTTAGTTCTCTCCAACTAAGGTATGTTATGCTGTAAGACAGTCTGTATATCTCTGTAAATATTCACCATTATCTCTAAGTAAACTTTATGCACCTTCATCACCAGTTGGTCTCCAGCTTCTTCTTTACTGCACCCAATAATAACATCAGGGCTCACGTGTATATAATATCAGAGCTCCCCAACTGAACTGGGCGTACCAATCAGCATCCGTGTAACATGCACCAATGAGTAAGACTATAATTTTGACCCCAGCCCTTTCTCCCCACATTTGACTTGGTAAAGAGCCCCTTTCTCAAAAGAACTACTGCAACCAGGTTCTAGTCAATAAATAATGGTACAATACATTATGTATCCAGAGCTACATTTCCATGTAGCATCTTTTTTGTTCCTACCAGTGTGTGTATTTCATATGCATCACTGGAACATACTGCATCCCAGTGAACAAGGAATATGGAAAAACCAGAAGTGTGACAAGCCAAACAACTCGAAAAATCTCAGAAGATGGGTAGAAAGCCAACTGTTCTACTGAGAAAACTAACTCGAGCAATGGTTTAACAGATCTGCTGTTTCTAACATGTTTAAGAAGAAGATTGGATTTATACCCCACTCTTCACTCAGAGTGGCTTACAAACTCCTTTCCCTTCCCCTCCCCACAACAGACACCCTGTGAGGAAGGTGGGGCTGAGAGAGCTCTTTTGAAAACTGCTCTTTCAAGGACAGCTCTGACAGAACTATGGCTTGGCCAAGGTCATCCAGCAGGTGCAAGTGGAGCAGTGGGGAAGCAAACCCGGTTCTCCCAGATTAAAGTCTGCGCACTTAACCACTACATCAAACATATTTAAGACTATAACTGCCCACCATCCAAATGGTATGCCAGGCCTTCAAGGTAAGTTCTCTTTGTCAGCCTTTATCTTTGCAGTAAAATTAAAAAATAATTCAGAGGCTTTAACTATTGTTTCCCCACTTCAAACTAGTCCAATGAGCATTTTTAGAAGAGAAGAAGAGAGAAGAGATTGGATATATACCCTGCTCTTCACTACCAAAGGAGTCTCAGAGTGGCTTACAATCTCCTTTCCCTTCCCCTCCCCACAACAGACACCCTATGAGGTAGGTAGAGCTGAGAGAGCTCTTTCGAGAACTGCTCGTGAAAGAACAGCTCTGAGAGAGCTATGACTGACCCAAAGTCACACCAGCAACTGCATGTGGAGGAGTGGGGACTCAAACCTGGTTCTCCTTAGAGTCCACACTCCTAACCACTACACCAAAATGGCTCTTACAGACACGCACAGTTTCAGTTTCTGTTTGTGATAATTCTAAGAGACTGCATGTGGAAAAAGTTGACTTCTCAGGTTGGGAGAAAACCTTGCAGTGTATTCAAGATTCATGAGATGACTGTTTTTACTAGGTCAAGGTAAAGAACAAAAACAAAAAACCTTTTATTTGCTGCTCTGTTTGCACTAAGCAGACTTTCTGAAGGAGACGACAGCCCCTTAGGAGGGAGGAAATGCAAAGAAATACTGGTAAAAACACAGCTTCCCAAATCCTTTTAAATACAAGCTGACCCAATAGTGTCAAGGAGAAAACAAAAACTACACAAACACTTGGTGAGACTTAGAGAGAAGGATCTTTTGTACTTTTTCTAACAGACCTTGCAAGAGGCTTACTAATAAGTCTTCTCTAGGACAATCATGAATACCAGGCAAAAGGAAGAACACATGATTTAAGTGGTCAAGGTAAAGCAATCCACAAGTTAGCCAAACCTGTTGCTGAGTAAAAGAAATAGCGGCCATCACAAACAAATGTACAGCAATGTGAAAAACAAATGATGAAAATCTAAAAAAAACAGGAGACATTCTGGCATACTACCCTTAGGTTAACTCGGTTTTAACCATTCTGCAGCACCTGAAATTTTCATCAGGCAGATTTACAAAATGTGTTAAATCCCCTAAGTGCAACTGTAGTCATTTTCATTGTTGTCAGATTAAGGTAACTTTTAGAAATCAACTTTGCCCACAAGATTTTTGTACTGACTACCAAGAGCTGCACATGAAGAGTGAAGCTGAGAGTTCACTTTGGAAACACATCCCCTGCATACGTGACACATATAGAATTAGGTTCAAGACACGCTTGCTTTAGTTGATATCAGGAAGTGGATTTGCAAAGCATGGACTGGCTAGCCCTTCTGTCAATCAGGAAGATGGTTCCTTCTTTAGAGATTATCTTACAGTTTATTTTCTATCTCAACTTTTTCCTCAACTGTAAATGTATTTATTTTATTTTTACCCCACTCTCCCCGCCGAGGCAGGCTCAGGGTGGCTTACAACAGTTCATAAAATACAATTAAATACAATTAAAAACCCATCAAAGGTATATAAATTACTTAAAATAACTGTCATTTGAAACATAAACAGATAAAACGCTGGAACATACTCAAGCAACAGACACAACAGTTCTTATAACATCGTTTAGGTGCCCATTGGATGTCAACACTTTCACGCCAGTGCAGTTCTCATTTGATATGTGGCGAGCACAGACTAGGAACCACAAATGGTGGAACCCACGTTACAAGCTGGAAAGCCAGGGCACAGGGACACTCCCCGGTTTGTAGTGTGGCTCCTTCGTTGAATGCCTGGTGGAAGAGCTCCGTCTTGCAGGCTCTGTGGAACTGTAGAAGGTCCCGCAGGGCCCTGATCTCTTCCGGGAGCTCATTCCACCAGGATGGAGCCACCACCGAGAATACAGCAAGATGGGTAGATGTGTCAGATCTCCTACCCCGCCACAAATTTTCATGGAGACAGATGAAGAAGGGTAGCCGTGTTAGTCTTTCTGCAGCAGTATAAAAGATCCAACAGTCCAGTAGCACCTTAAAGACTAAGGAAAAAATGCGGCAGGGTATGAGCTTTCATGATTCGTGAAAGCTCATACCCTGCCACAAATTTTGTTAGTCTTTAAGGTACTACTGGACTCTTGCTCTTTTCTACTGTAAATGTAAAGTGACATGCAAGCACTGGAGCAAATAACCGTGCTGGCATTCAGAGGGGGGAAAATAACAAAGCAGACAGTCTGCCCCTAAGCGAATGGGACTACTTTCAAACTAGAGGCTGCGCAAGTCTCTCCATTGAGTAGCAAAGGTGGGGTAATCCAAGTTTGCCCTGCAGCTGAAAAACTCGCTTTACGAAGATATGCTCATCTCTGCGCCCGGTTTTCCAGACAGGCCATGTTACATTTCTCTAATGTTAAACTTTAAGGATAGGTTCCTATAGAGCTTATGGAGGCTTCTGGGTAAGTGTGCTGAAATCACCATTAAGTATGGATAAGATTGGTCAGCACAGCCGGACAATATGAAGAACAGGGACCACGGGGCACTTTGCAAGAAGGAGCACACTGTAGTCAAGAAATGTCCAATCAATATCACCACCAGAAACCAGAAACAACACACATATACCAGAAAATCAGAATCAGTAGAGATGCTGGAGAATCTCCAGAGCTCTCGCCCCCAAGAATATGAATGCAAGAGTTTATGTGTGTGTTTCCCTGGCATAATTCCGTAAATTTGATGAGTGGCAACTCAGAATCTGAAATTTTCGTTTTTCGGAACTAATAACCAGGGCTATCAAACACAAGGTAAGAATTTTCCTTTACTCTTGGCAGGGAAGACGCTTTTTAAAGTAAGACCTGGCATAACTTCAGCAACTGGGAGAGAACTGAAACTGGTGCAAGCCAGACTGACCGCGGCCTCTTCAGCGGGGCTTCGGCTTCTGAGAGAGCAACAAGCCTTGGAAGGAGAGGGATCACAGACGTGAGCGGAGGAGGCCCCCGTTCGAAAGCTGGCATTTCCCCCCGGACCAGGCTTAAATTAGCTGAAAGTCAGCCAAAAGAACGAATGACAAGAGGAATAAGGAGGGCTAGGTTAGAAAACAGGGGGAGAGCCTCTCTCTGCGTTAATTAAGAACCGCTATAGTGGGGTATTTAGCCTATCCTTATTGCATGGGTGGGGCCGTGGTGGCTCAGAGGTTAAGACGCTGAAGCTGCAGATCGGAAGGTCTGTAGCTCGGCAGTTTGAGACCTGAGTGCCGCATGACGGAGTGAGCGCCCATCTCTGGCCCCAGCTCCTGCCAACCCAGCAGTTCGAAAGCAAGAAATTGCAAGTAGATAAATAGGTACCGCTTCGGTGGGAAGGTAACAGCGTTCCGTGCGCCTTGGCGTTTAGTCATGCCGGCCACATGACCATGGAAATGTCTTCGGACAGCGCTGGCTCTTCGGCTTGGAAACGGAGATGAGAACCGCCTCCTAGAGTCGGATTCAACTAGCTTCCGAGCAAGGGAAACCTTTACCTTTACTACTGCATGGGTAGTAGGGAGAAGGAGAATACTGGTCCCAGCATTTCTTCCTCCACATCAGGTATCACACTGGCAACCCTTTGCCTGTCCGGGATTTGCATAATAAGGCCATTTAAAATGGCAAATATCACACAAAGCCAACAACAGCAGTAGTGATGGCATACAGTGACTCTCTCGACATCAAACTGAAACCTTCTGCCTTACAGGATATGAAAACTCTGCATTTCAAACTCACTGCCTTTTAGAGACTGAGCGACGGAGGGCAGCCGTGCTGCACCTCTTCCCCGACGCAAATACCGTGACGTAATGAAACAGGGGACACTCACCGTGATCACTGTACCGTCGCTGCTTCTGGCTGGAAGATATACTTCTCTGCACCTTGTGATGTGGGGATTGTCCAGTGCTGTTATTGAGATCACTACTTGGCCTGACTTTAGCAAGTGAAAGGTTGCTGCTGGAGCTCGAATCGCTGGCATCCAACTACACAGAAGTATGCAGACAGGATAAAAGTTAGCCCATGGCCACAAGGGTTCAGCAAGGCTTTAAAGGGCACTTGACACGTAATACTTCTTTTTGTGCAACACAGAAACACAGCTACGTATCAGCTGACATTTGGGGAAGGCTCAGTGGTAGAGCATTTGCTCAGCATGCAGAAGGTCTCAGGTTCAACCCCCAAATCCTCCAGTTAAAAGAAACAGGTAAGGGGAGGTGATGCGAAAGACTGCTAACTAGAGGCCGGCCGGCCAGACTGTACTGGATGGACCAATAGTCTGATTCAGTACAAGGCAGCTTCATGTGTTAACTCCATATGACAGAATATATCGCATCCTTTGTACTGTATCTCGAACTTGTGGATTAGTACACTAGAGAATTATTCACAGCACAAAGAGGAAGTCCTGAGCAAGACCTCAGCAAAATTAGATAGATGACAGATAGATGGAATTCTGGAGTTAAATTTCCAGTTAAACAGTCTCAGGAGCAAGGATGAATGGGGGGGGGGGGGGACACTTGCTAGCACCTGGATTACCTAGGTTCCAAATTCTGTCAATAAGAAAAAGTACAGCCATCATGATAAAATTCTCTCATCTCTCTTAATAAACTCTTGCATTCAAGCAACACAAACACACACTGCTCACCTGTTAAGTTTAAATGGCCTGAACAGCCACACGGGTTGAAAGTCTGGTAAATGTTTGGGGAAGACGACTTCCCCAAACATCAGTTTAGGGGCTCCGAACTGGGCCACGTTCACGTTGAATTTTGACTTGTGAACTGGTTTATGCCCCATCCCTAGCTCTCACAACCTTTAAAATGTGGGATCTCCGAATTCAGCTGTTACTTTGTGAATGGAGCAAGATGTTCAAGAGCCATCTGCTCAATCCAGAAAAGCATAGCTGTTGTTAACAGACTGAAGACATGAATAAGGAAAATGTGGTTCGGTTCAAGGGGTGCCTGATTTGCGAACCACGAACCATCATGAACTTTTGGGGCTACCCATGCCAGTTCATGACTCCATAGAAAGGATCCTGTGCAAGCTAGAGACACCAAACTCGCAAGGGATCTCTGGCTGACTCTCCTCTACCTGCCCTTCAGGATCTCTGGCTGACTCTCCTCTACCTGCCCTTCAGGTTTGGCAAGGATTGGGTTTACAAGGATTGAGTTATGCCCCCCCCCCCAGAAGGTGCCCCTTTGGAATGTCCTGAGCCTGTGTCTGTCAAAATTACTGCCTGTCATTTTGACAGGTGCAGGTTCAGGTGTATACAGAATGGATCCTGCACAAGTTAAGAGACATCAAAGTTGCAGGGGACCTCCTCCCCCGGATGCTCCTCTACATGCCCACCAAGTTACGTTGCTTTGAAGTTGTGTAAACATTCTGACTGAGCAGAGACAGTCTGTCTGGAAACTTATCCATTCATGAACAGCTGGTGAGCCATTTCGCCGGTCGGTTTCACCAAGTGAGGGGAAGCTAAACAATAACAACCACTGTGGAATCATCCCTATTAGCACTTTATTATGTTTTATGGTTTTAGAATTGTTATTTGTATTAATTGATGTGTTTAATCTTTATTCTATATTATTGTAAATGTTATGCTGTTTTTATGTAAGCCACCCTGAGCTGGCCTAGGCCCGGGGTGGGGGGGGGGGGGGGGTAATTTAAAAGATCAAAAATCAAAACCAGTGAAATGCCTACCAGCCATTTAGACCTTCCAGCAGTGTTCCCTCTAAGCTGAGTTAGTGTGAGCTACCTCACAGTTCTTTAGCCTCCGGCTCACACATTTTTGTTCTTAGCTCAGGAAGGATGGCTCCAGAGCAAACTAATCTATGCAGTAGCCAAATCGCTCGCTCACAACTTTAATGCCAGTAGCTCACAAAGGTAAGTAAGTAAGTAAGTAAGTTTATTAAGAACAGTCATAAGACCAGCAAAATGAACCAAAATATTAAACACAGAGTCTACAAAGGAGAATTTTTGCTCACAAGACTCCACAGCTTAGAGGGAACACTGCCTACCAGTGGGACAGGTCTGCCCATAAACTGTTAGGTTTAAATGGCTGTGAGTCATTAAACCTGTTGGTTTTGCTTCCCCCCCCCTCAAAGTGGGGGGGAGTGAAGGTTTAAATGGTTCACAGACATTTAACCCTTCCCAGGCAATTCCCCCCCCCCCTTCCAGGCTGCGGCAACCCAAGGCCGAGAGAAAGGGGGATCCGAACTAACCAGTTCAGTTCAGGGGCTCCCCCAAACCAAACCTGAATTTTTAGGTTCATGCCCATCCCTAGTGAGAATCCAAGACACACCAGAATCTCACCACAAAGAGAGAGCTCTAATCCACTTAGGCCCTAGGACAGTCTTTGTTGGTTATTCCTTTATTAAAGGATGGCAAGTTAACATGCTGATATGGAACAGAAAAGCAGTACTGAATTACATGTTACAACATGACAAGGTAACACAGTTGCAGGGATCTTGATTATGTCACCTTAAGATGACAAGATCCAATATTATCGCTGCCAACAGATGAGGGGGTATTCTGCCCACTTCAGTGCAGATGCCTGACCTGCATGAGTCTGCCTGGGTCCACAACTCATATAATTAACTTTCCCAGCATCAGAAAGGACTGCCGGGGGGGGGGGGGGGCAGAAAAAAGGACGGGGGGGGGGGGGGGACGACAAAAGGAGAGATCAGAGACCCTTGCACCAAGGATCACTGACTCTGCCCAATAAGTATGCATTTTACTCACCTCTGATGATTTCCTTCCCAGTAGCAAATATGTAGCAGTGATTTCATCGTATTTCATTTTACTAAGGGATTCCTGTATCTCTTCTTGGGAATATCCCATTCCAACCATGATGTCTGAAAATAAATTAAAAGTTAGCTTCAAGCTACACAACACAGGAAATACTGTAGTCAAGAGTTTCACAGCAATGTTCAAACTTTTAAATAAGTGGCTTAAATGGCATCTTGCTACACCAAAGATCTTTCTTCCCTCTGTCTAAATTTGCACATTAAATCAAGCAACAAGGTCTAGCTATGCTACTCACAAAGCCATAAGATCATGGGCACATCATTGTTCTCCAGCACTTACCTATTCTCTTCTGGTCCGAGATGTCTAGCTCTGGTTCAACAAAAGGTTTAAGCTCATCATCCTCATGCCCTGCATTGATCCACCTGTCCTTCATAATTTGCTGTAAGATCAGGTTTCGTGTTAGTGTGACAGTAACAAAAGGCTCCTGCAGAGGTCAAATCTTTAACATGGTAAGTTAAGTAACCAGAAGAAATGTCGGCTGGTTTTGTATGAAGAACCAAGTATCTTATTTCTCTCTCTCATGCTGCTTCCTCCCCACAGAAAGCAAAATAATTATTACAGTGCCAAGATTCTTCACATTTCCCACACAAGATATTCCAGCAGCAGACAAGATGAATACTAAATTCTAGTGGGGGCGGGAAGCTAGTTATAACATAAAGGAAGAGGGCATACGCAAAGAACTTATTCAAGAAATCTGCTGATCCCCCCCCCCCCGAAGATCAAAAGCAGAGGTGGGGCAACTCCTGGCACATATGCTGAATGTGGCACCAAACAGACAATATTGCTCAGCACAGTGGCTGCCTTTCTCCACTCCCAAAGCAGGGGTTTAGTTGGGCCAAGCTGGGCTGAGCTCAGTTCTGGGACTTGTTTTCGCCCTGGAGCCATGCTGTCATCAACCGGGGTCACTGTGGCCCCACTTCTTGTAAGTGTGAGCGGCCCTGTGCCAATGGCCGGTACTGAACTGCACAGGTGTAGCACTGCTGCTGAATGCACGCAGAGCAAGTTGAGTGTGGGAGGTTGCCAGGCACACTTGTGATGCTGCCACCTTTCCAAAGCGCAGAAGGCACCCCTGCTTGCTGCCCCCCATATCCCGGTGGAGCTGCATCTACATCCCAGTTGGAGTTGCCTCTGTGGCCAGCAAAATGGCTTTCAATGGGGTGTGGGCTGCAGGCATGTCACTGGTGAAGGCGTGCTGGGTGTTCACAGTACATTGTACGTCTTTAAATTTAAATCTGGGACCATACGCCACCTTGATTCACAAGGGAAAAGTAGGGTACATTTTAATAAATGAACCCCTCATCCTATTCTCTTTAAGTCTGGCAGCGCACCAGCATCTTCGCACTTTGTTCAGCACTCAGACCAAAAAAAGGAAGCCTACCCCTGCTCTGAAGCATCGGGATGCAGCTGCAGGGACTCTTGCTGAGAAGTGATGGAAGAAAGACCACATGGTTTTCCACATTACTTCCTCTATGCAGCTGCATCCCCAAGGTAACTCTGCAGAGGAATCAGCAAAACCCAATGCAACATCACTCCAGTTTTCCATCCCTATCCATATACTTGGGGGGAGTGGAGGATTATATTAAGCCAGAGGGGAATTCCTTGGAAGGAAATGCCCACTTTTGGGTTGGGGGAACAGGAAGAAGAAAAGGGGATCATGATAAGTACACTACATTCACACAAAACTCTTCTCCTACATTTATGATGCCTTCTCCCACATATCTGTGGATTATTTTAAACTGTAAAAGAGGCTCGATATATAAGCAGCAGCTTCTGCCCCCATTGTGGTCACAGAGCAGAAAATGAGAAGCCCTGAACCACTTCCGGGAACTGGAGACAGGACTGTGGCCAGTTGGGACTGAGACTTTTGGATGGGTGCTCAGCTGAAGTAGTTTAGGAAACTCTGGCCTGAGGGAAAACTATTCGACAAGCGCAGAAATAGTAAATGGACACTGTCGAAGCAACTGCTCGCTTAACTTGAGTTGCACATCATCTACTAGAGTGTGCTCCTTTTTCCTCAAAATGAAACAGCTTACATTCAAAAGGCTGATTTTCATTCAACTTGCCTGCTCCAAGAAACCTTTAAAAAGGGATATGCAGAAAATGGGCAAATGCAGCATTAAAAATTTGTCCAAAGAGGGGATCTCCTCCAAAGAGTGTATTAACTCCAAAGGAAGCCCCATGATATGCAACTATCAGAGTACAGTTAGGCTAAATTCTGATTAATCAAAAGAACACCCTCTAGGTGGAGCACATGTCCATAACATCCACAGCAAAGCTGAGCAACAAGAACAGGGACCACGGGTTGGGAGGATTCCCTGATTTCCATTCAGGTTCACTGCAGCATGGCACGGTCGCTCAATGCAACACAAACCAATGTTTTCATGAACACTCAACATCAGACCAAGAGCAACTAGGGCTGTAGCTTGTGTATGTGTAACAGAAGGACTAGTTGTATGATCACTACAGGAGTGGCCTACTTTACCTGGATTAAAATATCCCATTACGTAACAGTGGGTTTGTGTGTGTGTTTTTAGCTAAACCCCAAATCTGCAATTTCTTCCAGCTGCAGAAAAACAATTGGTGAAGTCAAGGATATGGGTTGGATTCCAGACTAAATTTTCCGTCAGCAGAATGGAGCTTTCCTGCCCCACCGTCACGCCAAAATGAACACATGAAACTGCCTTATGCTGAATCAGACCCTCTGTCCATCAAGGTTAGGACTGTCTACTCAGACTAGCCAGCAGCTCTCTAGAGTCTCAGGCAGAGGTCCTTCCCATTACCTACTGCTTTGTCCTCGTCCTTTTCACCTAGAGATGCTGAGGCTTGAATCTGGGGCCTTCTGCATGCCAAGCAGAGGCTCTCCCACTAAGCCTTGGCCCCTCTCTAAAATGCTGCTAGGGGGGGATTAGGGGACCCTGAGAAACAAAATTAGGCGAGTCTGGAGGGGGAAGGGGGAATTGATAGAAACTGCCAACTTAGTCTGGATCCAACCCTAATGAACTTCTTATAAGAGGCAAAACTTTAGGCAACATCAGATACATCCCGTCAGAATGTAGGTACTAATAATTAATGTACATTCAGCACACAATTATTATTGTAAATTACTTAAAAGGAGACAAGAGTGGGGGACACACACACGAACAGGTACCTCAAGAGTGCCTCTTTTAGTTGGGTTTAGCACCAGGAAACGTTTTAGCAGGTTTTCACAGTCTGTGGACATGTAGAAAGGAATCCTGTATTTCCCTCTTAGTACTCTCTCTCTCAATTCCTTAAATTAGAAAAAGCAACATCAAGCAGAAAGTAAGAAAAGGCTGTGGCCATGAACAGACTTGGCAAGCTCCAACCCACGCAGGTGTACACAAGGCACGTACCTTTAGATTCTGGCCATCGAAAGGCAGAGACCCACTAACGAGAGTGTAAAGAATGACGCCTAAGCTCCAAACGTCAACTTCGGGCCCGTCGTACTTTTTGCCTTGGAAGAGTTCAGGAGCAGCATATGGAGGACTGCCACAAAACGTGTCCAGTTTATTTCCCACTGTGAACTCGTTGCTAAAACCGAAATCAGCTATTTTAATGTTCATGTCGGCATCTAACAATAGATTTTCAGCCTAGAAGGGGGGGAAAAAGTAGAAAAGGCATTTTTTTCCCAAGAGAAACTGAATTGCCCATATCTGATGCTCTCCAAGGACTAATCTACACCATCAACTGAAACAATATGAAGTGACAAACTTAGCATGTGATTATCTCATATATCATAATTCTTTAAAGCTTCTCAACACACATACTTGCAGATTAAGCTGTCTTATACCTTACATTGAGTCAGACCACTGGGCCATCAACATAAGAAGAGCCCTGCAGGATCAGACCAGTGGTCCATCTAGTCCAGCATCCCGTCTCACACAGTGGCCAACAGGTTCCTTTGGAGGGCCAACAACAGGGCGTAGGGCTGAAGCCTTCCCCTGATCTTTCTTCCGGGCTCTGGGATTCAGAGGTTTAGTGCCTCTGAATGTGGAGGTTCCCTCTCAAGTCACCAGAACTAGTAGCCAGAAGGTCAGTAATGTCTGCTCTGACCAGCAGTGGCTTGCTAAGGTCTCAAGTCAAGGTCGTCACATCACCTGCTACCAGTGTTCCCTTTAAGCCGAGTTAGTGTGAGCTAGCTCACAGTTTTTTAGCCTCTGGCTCACACCTTTTTGTCTTAGCTCAGGAAGAATGGCTCCAGAGCAAACTAATTTATGCAGTAGCCAAATCGCTCGCTCAGAACTTTAATGCCAGTAGCCCACAAAGGAGAATTTTTGCTCACAAGACTCCACAGCTTAGAGGGAGCACTGCTTGCTACCTGAGCCTTTTAACTAGAGATGCTAGGCACTGAACTTGGGACCTTCTGAATGCCAAGCAGATGTTCTACCACTGTCATAGCCCCAATATTAATCAACACGAATCATATCTTTAAACTGATCTGTTTGCTTGTACTATCAAAACCCATCCCCCCCCCCCCCCCCCCCCCGAAGTACCGCAGTATTTGGCATGCACCACACTCGGCAGTCGAGTCCGGGACCCCAAGTTGCCATCATATAGCAAGTGGAGTGTTGACGGATTTCCACAGTTTTTGGCAGCCTTCCCTGGCTGTGGGAACTGGGGTTCCAAGTTAATGAAGCAAGCACCTTTCGGGAGGTGGTGGTGGTGGAAAGTGTCATCAAGTCGCAGCTGTAAAGGGACTGACAGAGGTGGTTTGCCATTGCCTGCCTCTGCACAGCAACCCTGGACTTCCTCGGTGGTCCCCCATCCCAGGACTATACCAGGGCCAACGACCCTGCTGAGCTTCCCAGATCTGACAAGATTGGGCTAGCCCGGACCATCCAGGTCAGGGCACATGGGAAGGAGAAGGTAGCAAAGACTGGCATGATGGAGGCCTTTCTGCAGAGGAAGATTTCAGTGATACCAGCAAAAGAAATTTTTGAACAAAAGTGTTTGGGACAGGAAAGAGGGAACTATGAGGACTCAAGCTGGTGTTGCAGAGGCACTAAGAACTGGAGGATCAGGAGAAAATGAATTAAGGGGAACCAGGGGCCTGGGAAAGAAGAGGGAGATGGTGAAGAGGGAGACTACAGGCATTTTGCAGCTGCTATAGCTTAATTCCACACAATGGTCTGCACCCTGAACAGGCCCGTAACCAAGATTTTGTGGCTTGTGGGGCAAACTTTTTCAGGTGGGGCTGCCATTATTTTTCAAATAAAAATAATAATGAAAAAGTCTGCAAGTAACTGTACTTCCCTCTATTCTCCCAGCCTCCCTTCCCCATCTTCATTCACACAATCCTTTAAAAAGATTTTTTTAAATGTTTAAAATCATTTTTTGAAGAAAATCTTGTGGGGCTATTCCTTTAAGGGAGGGGGGGTGGAACCCCCAATAGCCCCACCGTCGCTATGGGCCAGCCCCTGACAGCTGCTGCTCATGGGAAAGGCATGATTGCTCCCAGGGATAGGAAGTTATGATATAAAGAGGAAGAGGATTCTCTCTCGTCTTCTATCATCCAAAAAATAAGAAGACAGCACTGCTCCTGCTTAGGCCTCAAGCTATCACCTTGTTCTGATGGAAAAAACAAAAAGAAACACTGTGCAGGTGGCAACGAAGTTCATTAGTTGTCAGACGGCATTACCACAGAGCCATTGCACAACTGATGCAAAAGCAATAAGCTCAGCCTGAGCAGCATTACGACCTCCAGCAAATGGAAGCTGCAATTTCCCTCCCCCATAATGTACCAACAACTATTTCAGTTTCTTAATTTCTTTTATTTGAAAAACACAAACAGCAGCAGATATAAATCAGGAAAAGAACATCCTAGACACAATCTATTAAATGTTATTTTACTACAACATTTATAGCCTGCCTTTCCCTGTGGCTCCAAGCCATCAGAGATGTTCTCTTTATTTATTTATTAAATTTGATTTCTTAAACGCCCTTCCCCGCATTCAGATTTTTGTGTTTCTTTACTTACCTTTAGATCTCTATGAACAATATGCTTTTGGTGGCAATACTGCACGGCAGACACTATCTAGATAGAAAACAGTCCAATTATATAGAGTGATGCAGAGAAAGGAACAACTTGCAAATCATAAAGTTTTCAGTAGCCGTCGCTAAAATAGGGAAGCAGTTATGAAATCCCTAAGGCCCACTATACTGAGCAACAAAACTACGAAAAGATCCACACCTAAGCACACTCAACTGTGGGTAAGTCCCACTGAAATCAATCAAGAATTATTCAAATATAAGTGCATTTAGAGGTGAGGGTCAAAGTTAACAAATAAAGGCAGGCCTTTACTTGCTTAAACTACTTCAAGCAGATTGTTATGGCTTCCCTGTATGGTGAACAAGATTAACATAATACATGATAAGTCACAATAAAGGGTGACTCTTGTGAATCAGAGAAGCAGACTCCTGAAGATGTTATCTTTTAAACTTGACTCAATTCTGTGGGAATCATAGCTCACATAGCATCTATGTATAGGTGATCAGATTTAGTACTAACTTAGTTTGTTATAACTGTTGATGTATGTTGTAAAAATTTGTATTGATGACTAACTGGTTGGTTTGTAATTTTGGATTTTCAGGACAGTTGTATACTGTTTTGCAGTTATTATATTTCTTGATATGTTATACTTCCTCTTAATAAACATAAAAATAAAAAAACAATAAAGGGTAAGAAAGACATCTCAGGCACTCTGCTTCTGCGTATCCCTGCGAGTCCTCGTGTTTTAACATTTTCCAGACAAGTACTTTATTTTGGGTTGGAGTGAAGGGGAGACAGATGAGACCCAGAATAAATGTGGTGTTCCAGCTCCTTACAATGTGACTGATCTGATCTCTTTTCTCCCTGTCTACAGAATGAACTCCCCCTGCTGTGATTAACTATTATGCCAACACCTATGGAGAGTCATGGTTACTGTTAATTGCAGTTCATACGAGGTTTCGATCTGGATTAAGAGAGAACCATGGTTAGTCCTGACCAAGGTTATTGTGGGTGTGGGTAATCTTGGCAGTGGGAAGTCAATCTTCAGAAAGGGTGAGTGAGATTCCATGGCTTGCTGCCACAAACAGGAGTGTTATGACTACACAGAGCTCAAGAATCCATGTGTTCGATTCTCAAGTCTTAGCATCTTCCATTCTGAAGCAGAATTTTGAGCATGTTTTGCATTAACCTTATACATTAATCTTAAACGTGGAATATAAATATGAATCCCTTTTTTAAAAAAAGTATGGTATGGCTTTCACTAAAGGAGAGGAAGGGAAGAGTGGCGGAGGAAGCCCCATATTTTCATGTGAGCCAGAGAGCAAAACCCTGGAAACTGCTTGTTTCCAACTCAGTGCCAAAATGCCACTTTAGAACCTGAAGTTCATGTATTTTAACCAAATGGAGAGTTAACAATTTAATTTTACCAAGCTCTCAACAGCAACTAATAAACCTGAAACCCTAGTTTCAATTAAGCATCTCAGGAGACATGTGAACCAAAGAGCATCATCTAAACAGGTCCTAAACTACCAAACTTGCAAGATTCTCAAGTCTTCTCTTTTACGAAAGGAACCTTGGTTTGGCTTTTAATTTTTAAAGATGGCAGTAGACACCCCTTCCGCTTCCAATTTTCTGGGAAAGAGATCAAAATGTTACTTTCCTTGCACAGTTCCACAGTACTTTGTGGTAAACTGGTTTATGGGTTGGACAGCGGAAACAGTGACACTGAACAGGGGAGAACTGGGAACAGTTTAAAGAAAAGGAAAGCAAGACTCTCTGTTTGAAACAGGAGGAGCTCGAAATCAAGGACAAGCTGCTCCACTTCCTCGGAGGTATTTCCAATTCTTCTTCTTTGCATTATTTTTTTTTTTAAGGAAGTCTTCTGTAAAAACGCCTTATAACTGGTATCAGGGCTCACTCTCACAAACTACCACTTTTGCTGATCTAAATGAATCTAACATGGATCAAAGGCTACATCATTTGCACACCTGAGAGGTCTGCAGAGAACCTTACAGTTTGGGAGCACCGAGGGAAGAGGGATGACAGTTTCAATTTTTGTTAACTTGCAAGGCATGCCTGGCCTTAAAAGACAGTGAGGTCCTCCGAACAACATCAAGACAATGAGGTACTTCAACCACCTGGTCTTAATGACAGCCTAAATCAGACTGTGTGGAAGAGCTGCATGCGGCACCTGGACTGCAATTTGGTGGCACCTGGAGTGCAATTTGGTGGCACCTGGAGTGCAATTTGGTGGCACCTGGAGTGCAATTTGGTGGCACCTGGAGTGCAATTTGGTGGCACCTGGAGTGCAATTTGGTGGCACCTGGAGTGCAATTTGGCCACCCCTGGCGTAACTGTTTAAGAACATAAGAACATAAGAGATGCCAATGTTGGATCAGGCCAAAGGCCCATCCAGTCCAACACTCTGTATCACACAGTGGCCAGAAATACCAGGTGCCATCAGGAGGTCCACCAGTGGGGCCAGGACATTAGAAGCCCTCCCACTGTTTATATCGGCTTGTGACGTATGGTCTGTTTCTGATGATGGAAGGGCAATTTCTGATGGTTGAAGGCATCTGTCATTACTGCTAACTGCCCCCACCCCCACATTAAAGGTAAAGGTTTCCCTTGCTTGAAAAGCCAGTCGAACCCGACTCTAGGGGTGCGGTGCTCATCTCTGTTTCCAAGCCGAAGAGCCAGCGCTGTCCGAAGACATTTCCATGGCCATGTGGCCGGCACGACTAGATGCCAAACCCTGTATACTGTTCATAAGCATTCCTGGACCACTATAAATAGTATTTTCTAGGGGCTCAAAGGGAGGGGGGGGCGCCAGGAAGTCCTGCTCTGAGAGATTTGGTTGTGAATACTGTAAAATAAGCCCTAATCTTTAAGGAGCAAGCCATCCTTGAAGGCTTTTTAAGGCTTTAAAATAAAAGCACTCCTGTTAATTTCAGAGAAGCTTACATTCCAAGACGCTGCTGATGACCACAGACAAAGGTTCTCTTCTTTCCCGCCGCCACCACAATGAAATAAGTTAGAATAACTTACTTCCCTACAATGTTATCGCACACAGCTAGAAAGATTGTGGGTGAAAGGATATCGATATTGTAACCGTGCGGTTGGTGCAGACAGTATTCGTCTTTACCACTTCATTCACACACCTTTGAGGGAGGGCAACAATTGGGCAGGCGAAGCATGATAAACCTGAAATGTTCTAGAAATTTACTACAGATCGTACATACCTGTCTAAATTTAGCTCTTGCCTCCTTTTCCTTCATTCTTCCATGTGCAACTAGATAGTCAAATACCTCCCCTGTAATTGAGATATATGAAAGATGAAAACAGGATTTTGTAACTGTTTTAGCTAGCTTTTTCCAACTGATAATAGAATTTTAATGGAGCTGGCATAGTTCGTGACAGCACATGTAAGATTACAGGAGCCTTAGAGAACAGGAACCTTAAAAATTAAAAACACAGGACATCAGGAACTTAAAAATTTAGCCTGGTGTGCACAGGTATTCACTGAAATAGTTTCATTATCAGTAAAATACTGAAAATTAAGAGAGAAATGGCGATTACAATGGCCCTGACCTGGATAGCTCAGCCAAGCCCAATCTTGTCAGATCTCTGAAGCTAAGCAAGGCCGACCCTGGCAAGTAATGACCTCCGAGGAACACCAGGGCTCAGGACGCAGAGGCAGCCTATCAGTCCAGCTCTCTAAAAACGTCCAAACCCCACTAGGGTTTGCTGGAAGTCGCCATGACTTCCAGGCATGCAAGCACACACATAAATACCCACCAAAAAATAATAAAGAATACAATGTCATAGGCAAAAAAAAAAAAAGAGTTTAAAGAAAGACTAGGAAAAACTGAAGACCTTAAAGAAAAACCACCACCCAATGCCTGTGCAGGATTCTTTTTTGCAGAAATCTGTTTATCCCTGTGACTGCTCGTACATGAAACTATAGTAAACAAGAAGCTGTTTAAAGAAGGGTCTTTGACAGTGCAATCCTAAACCGAGTTGGGCTCTTAAGGCTGTCACTCAACTCAGAAGGACTCCACTCTTGCTTCTGATTGCACTGCAAGTCTCCTTCAAAACCTGTATTGGCCAGCTGGTTTGGTTTTTGCATTCTTCCTTTCCTCCTTCCTCTGTGCTTCGTCAGCTGTTGCAATTTTAAGTGAGTCTGACTGCTGTAGCTATGATTGGTTTTAATCACTTCAATAATATGCCGTGAGCCAAATTTGCTCATTTCCCCCCCAACTGAAAAAGGGTTAAATTTTGAACACCCGTAACTCTTGAAAACAACCTGTGCATTCTGTGTCATGAGGCCTGTGTCACGCATTCTACGAACACTACTAAAACAGCGTTATAGAAATAGGTGTGCCTTAAATGAGAATATCTAACCTGATTTCCTTTCACAGCTACGTTTATTCAGATTAAGATCCTGACACACACACCCCAGCCTATCCTAAAGGTTTCAACCAATGAACATACTTCAGGTGAGGGTACATATATAAAATCATTTTAGCGCAATGGAAGAATATCTGACTTTACCTAACGTGATAACCTTATAAAATTACTCAGATACGCATAAGTAAAATGCAATTTCTTTTACTGAGACATCTTGATGTAATCAGATAAGCAAGAGTTAAACTTCATTTCTGCATAAATGAAGGTCTGCCAAAATAAGGGAAGCAAAACAGAAATACGAATTGTTTGAAAAGAGACAGGGCTCAAAGATCTGTTCTTATTTGCTAGTATTAGTAACCCATAGATTTTTGGAAACAGTTGTCATGTGGCCAGCAGAGCAGCGTGTTAAAAGCACTAGTACAAGTATTTTCTTACGGGGGGGGGGGACCCTCGTCTGATAGGTAGCACCTCTTACTGCTTGATCCTCAGGGACAAATGTTTAGAGAAATTACTGCTATCTAAACTGAGTAAAAGCCCTGTTTCAATAACAGGACTCGCTATACAGCGATTTCTACAATTTGAGTAAACAACGCAGGTCACAGGAACCACTTAAAAATTCATGCTGAAGACGCCAATCACGGTGCTGCGGGAATTAAGTGATTCATTCCAGGACAGACAACCAAGACAGGAAATTCTCAACAGATGCAGTCAATAGTATTAGCAACACACTGGCAAAGCAGCCTCCATCCTTTGGGCTTGTCTTTCACTTTTAAGAGCATTTTACTTCCGATGAAACAACGATGATGGGGCAGGATGTATACCAGTGTGCTTCCACCGCACACACACTCCAAGAGCATACAGAGCACATATCCCTGTAATGACTGTGTGTGCATTTTTAGATGTAACATTGATTTTTAGAAAGGGGTCTGGAAGAGATCCAGGAAATTCCAGGCCAGTTAGCCTAACATCTGGTCTAGTTAATTTAGTAGAAACTGTTACTAAAGAGAGAAGTATTAAGCACACAGAGGAACAAGGCCTGCTTAGGGAAAAGTCAGCATGGCTTCTGCAAAGCAAAGTCTTCCTGCCTCACATACTTTTTTGTGTTCTTTGAGAGTGTTAATGAACGTGTAGATAATGGTTATTCATCAGACATTTTATACTTGGGACTTCCAAAAAGGTTTCAACAAGGCCCCTTACCAAAGTCTCTTCAGTAAGCTTAGCAATTAGGCGATAGGATTATAGGTTAAATTGTACTACAGATTAAAAATTGATAAAGCAGAAAGCAGAGAATAAGAATGAAACTGGACATTTCTTGCAAAAGAGGGAAGTAGCTAGTGGCATCCCAGTAGGACTTGCTACTGGGTCTGGTGTTACTGATTGCATTCATGAATTAAATGGAACTGAAGATCAGCAGTGCTGTTGTCCAGTTTACATATGATTATTCAGGATGGTGAAAACTAAAGCAGTTCATGAAGAGTTCCAAGAGGATTTCTCCAAAACAGGTTAGTGGTCCGTGCAGCAAATCAGATTTAAAGTCAATGCAAGGAGATGCACAACAGAGCAAAACAAAATTCTAACTTAAAACATAAACTGATGGGGGTATAAACTGAACTAGTGGTGACTAGGGAGTGCATTCAGCATAAACCTATCTTAAAAAATACATGTAAAATACCTTACCGGTATTTTCCAGATATTATTTAAGCCAAATACAAATTCAAAGAATCTGATCGGCTACTGGTATAGCTGAGCCCAAATAAAAGCCAATTTTTCCCCAGCTTTTATTTAGGTACATTCAGTTATATCAGCCTCAGCTGAGGCAGCGCATTCTCAGCTCCCACTGCCCCAACTGATCCTCTCTTTCCACTCTGAGCTGCAAGAGAGGAACAGCCAGGTCAGCGGGAGCTGAGAGCTCCGTGCCACCTTGGCTGGGGCTGGCTCCTCCTGCAACTCAGTTTAAACCGAGCTGCAAGAGGAGCCAGCCCAGGATCGGCTGGGGCAGTGGGAGCTGGGAGTTCCCCAGCACACACAGATCCTGAGGCCAGCTTCTTCTGCGGCATGGTTTAAACCGTGCCACAGGAAAAGCCCTCCCAGTCTGGTCTGAGTGTGGAGGGGGAGAGAAAGCTCCCCACCACAGATCCTAGGGCCAGCTTCTTCTGCAGCATGGTTTTTTCAAAAAAAATCAGCATTTTTCTTCATGGGTCTATTGGACCTGAAAAAATTAGGGATTTCCAAAAAATTCCAGATCCGAACACCATACTGGTATTGGGATCAGGGATTTTTTGGAAACACTGAATTTTTTTCGAGTCCAATGGACTCAAACAAAAAAATGCCGATCCCACCCCCCTTTTCTTGCACACCCAGAAGGAAAGGAATCTCGGGGCTATAAGCACATGCCTTGACAAATTTTCTTTGGCTCTAGGAGTCAGCCCAATCATTCAGGAGCCGGATTTATCACTAACAAACACAGTGTTTTCATCATCACATGAGCCACCTCAAGCAGGTCTCTGAAGAAGAGGCACACACATTTACTGGAAAATTTAATGCGTAACATGGACTCATCCTGAATTCAATGCTTCTCGTTTAGCTCAACGCCTCTCATTCATACTAGGATCTTGGACCTTAGAAAAACACTAAGAAATAGTCATTATGACTCATCATACCTTCGGCTTCAGACTAAGATTTCAACCAGACTAAGATTTCAACTTCAGACAGAATGTGTGACTTGGACTGGGGAGACTTTGGGATCCTTCGAATTCCATCATAGGCACAGCTGCTGGCTGACCTTGGGTCAGTCTTAAGCCTAACTGATGTCCCAAGCTTATTGCAATGATACAGTGGGGATGAAGAGATCCCTATATAGTATCCTGAGCTCCCTGGCTGAAGCGTGGTTGAAAAATACAGTAATGAAATTAAGTGTGTACTGTATATACATATTTATATCAGTTTGCCTGCCTGCACTGCGGAACGTGGAGGAAGTTCTCATATCCTTTTAAAAAGGATGCTTAAACAAATAGGCTTACACATCAGAAGCCTACTAATAGGCTTCAACCCCTCCACTATCCACAGCACAGGAAAACCAGAGTCTCCCTGTGCTCCTTTGCATCTGAGGAAGTGAGCTCTGACTCACGAAAGCGCATGCTGGAAATAATTTTTAAGATGCCACCTTGGACTTCCGTTTCATTTCCCTTTGCTTCTGCTTATCCATGCCCTCTGCTGGCTTTTCCCACTCCTCTAAACTGGGTCCGTTACCCTTGGAGCTGTTCACTCAGTTCCACTTACCTGCTCCCCTTCTCACCCCAGAGTCTGTGTTTCTGCTTCACAGAGCAAAGAAACTCAAGAAGTTCTAACTAAAGGAGGACTGAAGTGCCCGGCAGGTTGCCAGGCAACCGGTTTCCTCATCGTCTCCCACCAAAACTAGAGCAGTCAGGCAAGGGGAGGTGGTAGAAGCATGCATATGAGAGAGTGAGATGTGAGCATGAGAGATACAGTGATGCCGGTTGGAGACAAGCAGGAGGTTTTGCTGCAACGAGCCGCTCAGAAGCAACTGAAGACGTTTGCCAAGTTGAGACGGGCAATCCAGGCTGTGCTCACTTAGTGCTGCTAGGGCTCTGCCACCCCCTTTGTTTGCTTGCTCCTGTTACCCTGGCTATTACTCTCCTTATGCCTTCGGCTACAGCAAGGGATCCCTGGTCCATAGCTCCAGTGGCTAGGAGCAAATCTTATGAAAATGGCATAGTGACGAAATGCTTCAGAATTCTGAAGGGAGCTTCCAAGAAATGATTGATTCTCCAATGGGAATCACGGAGGATTGCTGTATCTGAAGATACTTTGTGGATGTCTACGTGTATCTTTGAAATGTTGAATCCAGCATGATTCTTGAAAAAATTATTGAAACTGATTTATAACCGGGGGCCCGTCGAGTCAGCTGGCAGAGACACTACCACATCCTTACAGTTCAAGGACTTCTTTGAGTTTATTACTACAAGTTGTTTTTGGAAAAACTCCACCTGTGAATTTCTACCTGTGATTAACTTTACCTGTGAATTTCTACCTGTCCATTTACTGCGTCATAGGAAAATTTGTTCTTACTATATATGCCATATCTATATAATTTATTAAATCATTGCTTTTTGGTGTTTACATTTGGGCACATGCATTTTCTTCTTGTTTACAGCCACTGCAACCTGGGCTGCTGTAGCAGACAGCGGTGGTGGAAAGTGCCGTCAAGTCACAGCTGACTTATGGTGACCCCGTGGGGTTTTAAAAACAAGAGATGTTCAGAGGTGGTTGGCCATTGCCTGGCTCTGCATCACGAACCTGGTATTCCTGGGAGGTCTTCTCATCCAAAGACTAGCCAGGGCCAAGCCTGCTTAGCTTCCGAGAGAGATATCTATATCTATATCTCTCTATATCTATATATCTCTCTATCTCTATCTCTATCTATCTATATTTGTGGCCCTGGCGCATATATATATATGCCAGGGCCAAGCCTGCTTAGCTTCCGAGATCTGAAAACAGTCTGGGCTATCCAGAGCAGGGCCACCACAGCAGATAGCTCAATTCAAATGTTGATGCAGTGGCTGGGGTTAAAAAGGCGAGCTCGATCCTACGGATCATCAGGAAAGGGGTTTAAAAATTTAAGAGATCTCGAGTGTTAAGATTATTCAGAAGGTTCTGTTTCAGTGAGAATGGGGGGGATGACAAAGAGGAGGATGGAAGATATCAGAACGATGAACAAGTTAAATGGAATCTCTTAGATGTGCTGAAACAACCAAACTATCAAAGCGGTATGGGGTGATGGGATAGCATGAAGGGCACAGTGAAATTGAATTATTTCATATATAGATAACAAGATGCACACAGAAAAAATACACACGCTCAACAGGTAATCTGGGGTTGGTGACAAAAGCTTGAGCCATGGTATTTCTAGAATGGTGGGAACAGTGACACGCTGGATGGTGAAAATACCTTTACATATATAACAGGGAAAGATTAAGCATGGATACTTATTGCAACCTAATTTGCAGACTGATAAAAGAAACTGTTTTGTCTGAAACAGTTCAGTACTTACCCCCACTTGCATACTCCATGATTAAGTAGAGCGTTTTTTCTGTTTCAATTACTTCAAATAATTTAACTAGAAAGGGGGCAAAAAAAATTTAACAGATTATACCATTTTTATCTATGTAGAGTTTATCTATGTAGACAGCACAGCATTGAGCTTCATTTTGCCACTTGACGTTCCTTAAAAATTAACATAAAACCAGAACATGGACTCATCCAATGAAATTGACCAACACTAGATTTAAGCTAGAAAGGGACAAGGTGCAACTATGGCATCTGCAGCCAAAATATAAAAAGACAGTAACAGCCAATGTTTTAATCTGTTTTAAAAGGGATTAGACATATTTATTTATAACATTTTTATGCCACATTGCTACACAGTTTAGAGCCTCCAAGGCGGCAAACAATCAGAAACACTAAAACAACCTTTTCACATACATAGTGCAAAAGCAATTAAAAACAGCAATTAAACAACACTCCTACACAACGAAAACATAAACACAAATTCATGGAAGAAAAACAGGCAGGAAGCTTTCCTGGTCTGCCTGTGAGCTTCCTGGAATACTCTGAAGGGCCACCTAGGCCAATGTGCACTTGCCTAATTACTGCAGTCATAATCTGAAGCCCGATTCCAGAGAATCAGAGAGTTGGAAGGGATCTCCGGGGTCATCTAGTCCAACCCCCTGCACAATGAAGGAAATTTACAAATACCTCCCCCCATACACACACAGTGACCCCTGCTCCATGCCCAGATGACCTCCAGGATTCCCGGCCAAACTGGCCTGGAGAAAAATTGCTTCCTGACCTCAAAGTGGCGATCAGCATTTCCCATGGTGTGAACAAAAGGGCCACAAGAACTAAGCACTGAGGCAACCCTTCCTGCCTTTCTCATGATCTGCCTAAGTTCACAGAATGAGCACTGCTGTCAGATGGCCAACTAGCCTCTGTTTGAAAACGTCCAAAGAAGCATATCACCAGTATACAAAAGAGGATGGGGTGGCTACCAGAGGCATGGTTTCTCCTGGGACGGCAGCTTTGCTCATTGGAGCACGATCTTTTGCAGGTGCCAACCTACAAATGGCCAAGATCAACAACTGCCCATGGACGTGACTTCTCCTTTGCGGCCCTCACCTGATGGCACATACTGCCTGAGGAAATCCAGAAGGTTTCCGCTTTCCTGGCTTTCTGCAAACTATGCAAAGCTGAATTATTCAACGGGGCTTTTCTACGGAGGCAATGGACTTGCACTGTACTCAATGATCTACAAAATTACTTGGGAAAATGATTACAGACTATCATCTATACTGCTGTGTATAGCTTGCTGAAAGCAGGATCCTAACATGAAATTTTGCATTATTTAATGTGTCATGTTAACACTTACGCTTTGCTTCGCTTCTGTTTTTAGACTTCTGGTTAGTTCTACCACCCTAATCCTACTGATCATATAGACTCACTCTCTGTAATCTGCCTGGAGTCCACAGGAGAAAGGTGGACTACACAGTGTAAATAAATATAAACCTTGATTGTGGCCTATCCTCCCTACAGATACTTTGCAAGCTCACTGCCTGCCAAGTTTATAGAACCTCCTAAAGATGTACTTGTTTTATACAGGCTGTCTGGTGATTATTTTCCATTATTTTAAATGTGGTTTAAATATACAGCAATTATCTATAGTGTTTCTGTTATCTAAGCTGCCTCAAGTACCTCTGGTAGAATGGACAGAACTTACCGAAACAGATAAAATAAATTTAAATCTTCTAAGAAACCAGGTGCTACACCAGCTGGTCTCTCTACCAAACCCAACAGGGATCTTCTTATATGTTCCTAACTCTTAATTTGAAATCAACAAGTTTAATGCTTTCTGCATCGTAGCTATTAATGAAAGAGGAAGCCGTTTAAATGTCTACAGGCAGCCCTGCATTGCAGAATAACTGAAAAAGCTCCATCCATAATCTTCACATCTGCCATACTGGCCACCTGCTACCATTCATTCCTCCGTGTGCAGGGGTGGAGCAAAGACAAGGAGGAAAAAAGTGTACTGCAAGAGAAGTGATTGCCTCTTCTATTCTAATTCACCAATGGAATTAACACATATCCTGTTCCAAGATTGCTCCCGTTTCTTCCCCTGTTCTAAAATAAAAAACTTCTTTCGACCCTTTATCTTTACGAGGAGAGGATGGATTTATACCCCGCCCTTCACTACCCAAAGGTGTCGCAGAGCGGCTTACAAACTTCTTTCCCTTCCCCTCCCCACAACAGACACCCTGTGAGGTAGGTGGGGCTGAGAGAGCTCTTTCGAGAACTGCTCTTTTTCAAGAACAGCTCTAATGAGAACTATGGCTTGCCCAAGGTCATCCAGCCAGGTGCAAGTGGAGGAGTGGGGAATCAAACCCGGTTCTCCCCGATTAGAGTCCACGCACTTAACCACTACACTGTTTGCCAGCCTATTTTCTTGTTCAGTTCCATGTCTGAATTCCTTGTGTGTGCAGGCCTCCATTTCTTCTGTCCCTATCCACCCATTTTGATGTGAATCGCTAATGTACGCCTCCCCCCTGCTCCACATTTTCAAAAACAAGTTTGGGCATAAAAGAGAACAGCCACATAAATGAAACCATGGCCCTTCAAAGGCCTATGGACTATTAAGCTCACACTGGTGGATTATGTTGCCAACCTCCAGGTAGCACCTGGAGATCTCCCGCTATTACAATCGATTGCCAGATAACCACAATCAGCCCTCTTGGAGAAAATGGCTGCTTTGGAAGGTGGACTCTGCTGAGGTGCCCCTCCTCCCCAAAACCTGCCCTCTCCAGGCTCCACCCCAAATCTCCAAGAATTTCCAAAACCAGAGCTGGCAACCCTACAGTGAGTGAACAGCTTCAGACAAAGCAGAATGGATGGATGGATGGAGCCATCAAATTGCTAACCGTTCTAAAAGGGTTTAGAGAGCCGGTGTGGTGTAGTGGCTACAGTGTCTGGGAGACCCAGGTTCGGATCCCCACTCTGCCATGGAAGCTCACTGGCTGACCTTAAGCACATGCTCAGCCTAACCAACCCCACAGAGGTGCTGTGAGGATAAATGGCGGAGAGGAGAATGTTGTAAGCCACACCGTGTCCTCGCTGGGGGGAAAGGTGAGATATAAATGCCACAAGTAAATAAAAAGGGACATTTAAAGAATATACCCTGAAAGAGTGTTGAATCAGCTGCTTACTCTGGAGTAAACTAACCTAGTTGTACCCCAGCAGTTGTCTATTATTAAGGGCACTGAATTCGTTAATCAGTTTTAACATGTATTTGATTTATATGTTGTCGAAGGCTATCACGGCCGGAGTTCATCAGTGGCTGTGGGTTTTCCGGCCTGTATGGCCGTAGTCTTGGCATTGTGACCGGCAGTCACAGCTGCTGGTGAAACAGCAGGGACTGCAATGCCAAGACCATGGCGATACAGCCCGGAAAACCCACAGCCACTGATTTATTTGATTCCGTTCATAACTTTGGTTTTATGGTTTTATAATATTTTAGATTGTACTCTATTTTACATAATTATCTATGTTTTATAGTATTTTTCTCTGTTTTTGGATTGTAATGGCCTATGGCTAAATACAATAAAACCCTCCTAATCGGATTTATTTGATTCATTTGCATCCCACCTTTCTCCTCAACGAGGATCCAAAGCAGCTTACGTTGTTCTCCTCTCCATTTTATCCTCACAACAACCTGGTGAGGTAGGTTAGGCTGAGAGGGCGTGACCGGCCCAAGGTCACCCAGTGCACATCCATGGCATGAGTGGGGATTTGAACCCAGGTCTCCCAAATACTCATCCAACACTCTTAACCATGACACCTCAGCCGGTCTCAGTTCTTGAGGATAAGGGCTGCTTTTAGGAGAGCGTTCGTTTCCATCTGCCACCATTTTGTCTGTTTGCAAGCATATTTCGTTACTTTTTAAATCTTTACTCTGTAAGCGCTCTTAAGCGTTGTGAGGTGGTACAGTAAAAAGCTGACAAACACTTCAGATTCAAGCACAAAAGTTACAAGGAGTTGCCCTGTGTGGACTCAGATCATTGGTCTTCCCAAGATCATTTTACTGGAAATCTTAGGGCCCAGCCTTTCAGCTATAGCCCCTCTCAACACTGAAGGAGAGGAGAAAGGGAGGTAGGAAAAAATTTAAGAACTGGGCTGGAGGTTGGAGCACTGTGGGAAGCCGAGAAGGGAGGGGGGAAGGGAGGAGGGAAGGATATATATAATTGTATAAGTTTTGATATATGTTTAAACTTTTTTCATTATATCCTAATAAATTGTTTTGGGGGGAAAAACACAGAAGCCTTCAACCACAAGCCAGGATGCTGCAAGAATAGATCTGCAATGCATAACAAGGTCTCTGTTTTTCTCCCCTGATTAAACCTCATTAGAAGCTGGGGTGGAAAAAGAGTCTCAAAAGCAGTTTATAAAATGGCACGGATAGTCGAGAGTCCACAGCATCCTGGCACGGGAGTTGAGAGTTCACAGAAAAATGTCAGAGGCCGTAGTGCACATGAACCAAACATGAGCTCCACAGACTGCAAACGCAGCTGTTAGTTACGCGTTTGGCAATACGTCAACTAATGCTGCCGTTCTGAAGGGTCTTGCAAAAATCAATGAGGCAGCTCCTCTAAGTAGTTTCAGGAAGCATCAATTGATTATATTCTTGGGGGGGGGGATATTTTATGCCCCAGAAGCACAAATCAATGCAGAAACAGACAAGTGAGACAGTCCCATTATTTCAGATTGCAATCTGCGGGAGTTTAACATACTCAACAAATTAAATATTTGTTACAATTTATGGTGTTTATTACCTATTTATTACATTTATACATTGCCCTCCTTTGAGGCAGCAGCCCAAAGAGCCCAGACTAGCTTAAGCCCATCAGCTCTTAGAAGCTAAAAGGAGTCAGCCCTGATTAGTATTTCGGTGGGAGACCACCAAAAAAGTCTAGGGTTGCTACGCAGAAGCAGGCAATGGCCAACCACCTCTGTTCGCCTCTTGCCTTGGAACCCCCATGAGGGGCCGCCGTAAATTGGTTGCAGCTTGATGGC